GTAATGAATGGCAAATCCGAATTTCAAAAGGCAATACACCAGCCAAAAGCAAGAAAAACTCCAGAACCCGATGAAATTTCTTCGGAACTAATAAAACTACTCGATGACAAAGGCATATCTATTCTGACGGCATTCTTGAACCAGGTTAACCAAACTGGGAAACTTCCCGACGACTGGCTGAAATCGATCTTTATCATCTTACCCAAAACCAACAAAGCTAATAGATGTAATGAATTCCGACTAATTAGCCTAATGAGTCACACCTTAAAAATACTCCTAAAGATATCGGGTCTTTAAAAAAAAACCAATCAAAGATTGCTTTGATTACGAAAACGTATGTCGTATTATTGTTTCTTTATTGGTCAGGTTTTCTGACATCACATTTTGACATTAAAGCTCATTGACGAAATTGGAGAAAAATATTGCTAAGACATACGTTTAAAAAACCATAGCAATCTTTGATGTTTTTTTTTTTTTGAAGACCTGATACTTCTCAATAGAACCTACACCAAATGTGAACACAATATTGGCAGGGGACTATTTGGACTCTGCAGCGGGATGGGAGTGCGTGAAGCCCTTTTCTGCACGAGGACAATATTGCAGAAGAGTTGTGAGTTTTGAAAAAACATCTGTTTTATTGACTTCGAAAAAGCATTCGGTTGAGTCAAAAACACTAAACTTTTTCAATGTCTAAAATCATATAACTTATGTAGACTATTCTGATTTGCATCTTTTGATAAACCTGAGTCGCTTTCCAGTGCCTTAATTGTTAGAGTATCATGCTCCTGAAGTGTGACGCTCTTGAACTGTTCGACATAAACAGCACTGGAACGCTCTCGTCTTAACCCCCACCATTTCGGATTTCAGGAGCATGAAACACAGACAAAAGGGTTGGTGCACGAGGGGACAGGGGATAACAGAAATGAGTAGCTCAAGTGTACGACACTCAATGCCCACTTGCACCAACCGCAACTTAAATTGGTCTTAGCTAAGTCGGGTCTTAATTTTAAGTTAGCCTTTAATTCAATTCACTTGCACCATAGACAAATTATGCCGACCTGGCAAAGTCGGACTTATTGATTTGGGGCGATGACAACGCGAAATGACAGAAGTTGACAAATAGACTTTAGTATTTTGTGGTTTTTCGGTGTTTGGGTGTTTCTGATTGAGAGTTTGAGCAATGGAAGAACTAAATTCTAAAAAGCAGAGGGGCACGAATTTCACATTAGCATAAAAGGAGGCTTTAATTTATATATTGGCAAGATTTAAAAATATTATTGAAAATAAAAAAACTGATGCTCTATCCATTCATGAAAAAAACGATTCCTGGGAGTATGTATGCAGGAATTTCAATGTTGCTTCACCGGGAATGAGAGAGAGAAGTTTTGATTCTTTAAAAACTATTATAAGAATCAAAAAGAGGATCTACAGAAACAAAATAAAATATAATGTGTCACACTTATGTTGTTTGTGGTCAGCGGTGCTACCACTTTATCTACACTTGGCTGCGTGTCGGCTAAGGGTTTATCCTGAAAAGAGGTTATGGGGGGAAAGGAAAGATTTCACCACTAGTAGTTAATACATCTATTGTTACACTTTAATTTATGTAGGAGATGACTAAATAGCGTTTACCAAAAATAGATCGCAGTAAATGTTCTTCCCTGGTGGGTCATCATTTAACATTCCCTTGGAATACGTATCTTTAGAGAAAACTCTACGCTGTACCCAAACAGGCCTATGAAAATGTACCCTCGAGGAGCTTAGTTTCCATAGGTCTAGGTTTGAGGCGTTGAGTGGGGCTTCTACAGCACGACATTCACCTTAGGATCTCAGTCGTACTGTAGCAAGTCACACCCAACTTGGAGAGAAAGTCTTTAGGCCTGTAGCCTCGAGGAGCTTTAATGCTGTGGAGACTAACCTCTGCCTGAGTGCATTACCGCCAGCAGAGCCAGTTAATTTTCTACAGTACAAGCGCCAAATTCATTTCATTTTTATAGTCTATGGGCTTGTAGACATTTATGAGTTGACAATATGAGAAATTTATATGTTATATTACGTTAAGTCGAATTTAAGGCCCGGATTTTGGCGACTTAAGAAAATTCAATTTAAGGCTACTTTAAGTCTAGCTCAACTGCTGGTGCAACTAAAATTTAGAGTTAAGTCTCGGCTTAAAGATAAGTCTGACTTAAGTTAGTCTTAAAATGTTGGTGCAAGTGGCCATAAGCACTGGAACGCGCAAAGCAATTGTGGAGCACTCCTGAGCTGCTCAGGAGTAACTCAAATGGCTCACTGGAAAGCACCTCTGGTATTATAGTCAAACAGCTGTAGTCCGGCTGGATGACAGCAATACAGACGAAATACCAATAAAAAGCGGTGTAAAACAAAGGCGTGCTCTGTCACCCCTGTTGTTCAACCTCTATTCAGAGAAAATATTTCGTGAGGCTTTATATGACAGGGCAGGTAAAGATAGGAGGCGAAATAATAAACAACGTAAGATACGCAGATGTCACAGGACACAGAACATGGAAAACTTGCAAATACTGCTGGATAAAGTGCATGAGGCTACATGGAGTATTAATATTGTCAACTAGCTGCTTGGGAAAGGAGGACCCGGTATTCAACCTTATTAATTTAATTGCCGATTCGATCGAATATTTATTGCAATTCAGCAATAAATTAATATAAATTGCGCTGCAAGCCGCAGCAAAGGCAGACTTAAACCAGTGCAAGTACCTCTCGTTGGAAAAGCCCCTCTGGAATTAAGTCTCCCCAGTGCAAGTACCTCTCGTTGGGAACGCCCCTCTGGGTATCTTCAGCCTTATCGTTGTCCAGTGCAATTACCTCTCGTTGGGAACGCCCCTCTGGACAAGGCATAAGGGTGACGATAAACTAACCTACAGTCCCCCAAGCAGCATTGACGTGTGGCTCCCTATAAGGACCCCAGTGTTCGAAGGGTCACGTATCTTATAGGATTAGCATACATGTAAGGTTATATTTGGGAAAATATATAGCATATATTTTTATATAACCTGAGCGAGTTTCTCTCCATCTACCCCCAAAGCTACAAACCCCCCATGTCACCCCCGTAAAGCGGGTAGTTGTGACATATTTGGTGGAGGCGCCGGGCATATTGTATTTTTTTGACACTATTATGGTATTTGTATATAATTTGTTGTAAATGTCTCTTCCAAGCATTGGGGTCCAATGCTTCATGGAGGGGGGGCATATGTCAACTAGCTGCTTGGGAAAGGAGGACCCGGTATTCAACCTTATTAATTTAATTGCCGATTCGATCGAATATTTATTGCAATTCAGCAATAAATTAATATAAATTGCGCTGCAAGCCGCAGCAAAGGCAGACTTAAACCAGTGCAAGTACCTCTCGTTGGAAAAGCCCCTCTGGAATTAAGTCTCCCCAGTGCAAGTACCTCTCGTTGGGAACGCCCCTCTGGGTATCTTCAGCCTTATCGTTGTCCAGTGCAATTACCTCTCGTTGGGAACGCCCCTCTGGACAAGGCATAAGGGTGACGATAAACTAACCTACAGTCCCCCAAGCAGCATTGACGTGTGGCTCCCTATAAGGACCCCAGTGTTCGAAGGGTCACGTATCTTATAGGATTAGCATACATGTAAGGTTATATTTGGGAAAATATATAGCATATATTTTTATATAACCTGAGCGAGTTTCTCTCCATCTACCCCCAAAGCTACAAACCCCCCATGTCACCCCCGTAAAGCGGGTAGTTGTGACAATATAAACATCAAGAAAACGAAATGGATGACCGTAGGTAAAATAAACATCGAACCAACTCCGATTACAATCAACGGACACGCACATTGAACTAATTCCACATTTCAAATACTCGGGCAGCTGGCTAAACAGTGAAGCTACGTGCGACGAAGAACACTCAGCTGTTAGCTGTTACGTATGGAGCATTCTTTTGTATGGATGTGAGACATGGACGCTTAAAGCTGACACCATGAACAAAATAGAAGCGTTTGAAATGTGCTGTTATCGGAGAATCCTCAAAATCCTTTGGACCGCACATACCAGCAATGAAGAATGAAGAGGTACTAAGACAGCTTAATAAGGACCGAGAACTTCTGAATACCATAAAAATAAGAAAGGTTGGTTTTTTCGGATATATAATGCGAGGCAGCAAATATCACATCCCTCGCCTCATCATCCAGGGAAAGGTTGAGGGCAGAAGATGGATAGGTCGCAAAAAACATGGCTACGAAAGCTGTATAGAAGTCCTACTAATTATAACGAACAGACCCTGTACAACTTTTATCTAGAATTAAAAGGAATAATAAAAGACTCTCAGTAATTCTCTAGATTTTTTCAAAATCACACTTGTAAGATTTCGAATTTCCAATTTTTGAAAGTTGAGGATTTTATCCAAATTCTTGAACTTCTCTATCAACAACAAAGAAGATGCTTTCACGAGAAAGATTCGTAATCTTTATTCCATCATAAAACTTGTCAGAATATTTTCCAAATGGAACAGTCACAGTACAAGTCAATATTATAGGCTAGTAAATATCAAACAAACATCACATCAGCGGTATTTCCAAAGATTACAATTCATGATTCATAAAACTATTAATCACCAATAATATTTTTGATAAAAACAATGGACCACCCAAACAAAGTAAAAAAAATATATTATATTTCCTAGCCCGGCGTTTAGGATGTGGTTAGTTTAGGACCGTCTGTGAGTATTTCAAGGATAATCTTATCAATCTTCGAGTACCCATTTAATAATAATTAAGAAAGTTTTCAATGGTAAACTAATTATTAAAAAAATAATTAATAATCCAAGTGGGTTCCTGTTTTACTGGGGGCATTAATATATTATTCAAGCCTTTCTTATCAACAAAATATAGATTAGCTCATAATAAAGTATGTTCAATTTTTCCATGAACCGGGCTAGAAATGTAACAGTTCCTTCGCATATATTCGACTTTAATATCTACCCTATTTTCCTCAACTCTAGGTACTCTATGCTACTGCGACGATTTTTGCAACAGAACTGAAGTTCACGATTGCTGTCCTGATTACTGGTCCTTCTGTTGGGGATTGGAGATTACCACTCCTCTACCACCTCCAACCACTAGACCACCCGAACAACTCAGATCCTGTTTGTACAATAACCGAGTATACTTCGTAAATCAAACTACAAAAGACAATTGTAGAAACTGGTATGTATGTACAATTAGTTTTGTTGAGATCTTATAAGAAATAGAAATACTTAAAATGTACTGCAACACCAATGCTATATAGGCTAAATAAGTACGTATATTTTCATTTTAGCCGATGTGTGCCTACAGGAGTACAAAGTGTAGACATGATGTGCGATCCAGATGTCTGTTTAATCGAGAACGACATTGTCTATGCTGTTAATGCCGAATCTCACGGATGGGTTGCATCAAACTACTCTCAGTTTTGGGGCGAGACACTTGAAAGAGGAATAAAATACAAGTAATATATATTACCTTAAATATGCACCGTAACAACAATTTTATCACTGACATTGCTTTTAGACTGGGAACATTGCAACCACAAAAAGATGTAATGAGAATGAATCCAGTGAAACGATACTACGATCCGGCAGCCTTACCCAATCAGTTCGATAGCGCTCAGCGTTGGCCTAGATACATTTCCGAGGTTCAGGATCAGGGATGGTGTGGTTCTTCATGGGCTATTTCCACAGCTGCTGTTGCATCTGACAGGTAATAACTAACAATAACTTGCAATTTAACCCTCAACCTCAAGTTCATAAATCCATTTTAATGTAACCATGATTTTAAAATCATTAGATTATTTATATTATATTTCTAGATACGGAATAATCTCAAAAGGCATAGAAGAAGTTAAGCTCAGCGCTCAAAATATTATATCTTGCATTCCAAGAACTCGGGGTTGTGAAGGAGGTCGACTGGATCGAGCTTGGACTTTTGTTCGTAAATATGGGTAAGTAAAAAGTTGTCATACATTAACAAGTTATGTAGAATGTAAGTATAAATCAATGATCAAAGTGGAATTTTGTTTATTTTAGCCACTCGGTATCTTCTATCGAGTCCTATCTCATTTTATTTTGGATACCCTTTATATGACTTTTTATTTTTCACATTTTAAGTCTTTTTTTTTTTTGGTTACCTATGTTATACTTTTTATATTCTTATTATGCCATTCTTCTTTATTTCAAGATTTTCTTGCTCGATCCCAAAATGGGTGTGACCCAAAAATGGAAGTTTTAGTGCTCGTTTTAGCGCTAAAAAATCTTAGAACAAATATTTAAACCGCATCTTGCTGCGATCAACCGTTTTCGAGTTAGGGCGGTTTAAAGTGACGAACGCCTGACGTCACACCGGCTTCGACGGCACAGTTAAAATGCGCTTTGGATTTTCTGGTTTAATAGAAAAAAAAAAAACAGAAATTCAATTTTAGTTTATTTATTCATGAAGAAGAAAATCTCCTTATATTGGAGAGAAATTGTTCTATTTGAACTACTTTGACTTGATTTTGAATAACTAACTGTGTAATGTCAATTTTAGTGTTGTGGATGAAGCTTGCTTTTCCTATACTGGTTTGAACACCACCGTCTGTTCAATTAGAAGAGCCGGTCCTTTAAAATCAGCTGGATGTACACCACCGAGATACAGCGAAAGAACGCAACGATACAAAGTAGGCCCAGCTTACAGATTGGGTAACGAAACCGATATTATGTACGAAATTTTGAGATCCGGTCCAGTACAAGGTTTGTGGTTTATCTTATACCTACATAATATATTTTGTAATAATTGTGTTTTTTTTTTCAGCAACGTTGAAGGTGTACCATGATTTTTTCTCCTACAAAGGTGGAATCTATAAACATACTGATTTATCTCTAAGACACAAACAAGGCTACCATTCAGTGAGAATTGTTGGTTGGGGTGAAGAATTCACTACTAATGGACTGCAGAAATATTGGGTACGTACAAATAATTCAACTAATTAGCCCAGATAGTTATTTCAAGTTTATTTTTATTGTAGAAAGTTGCAAATAGTTGGGGTACCGCCTGGGGTGAAAACGGATATTTCAGAATTGCTCGAGGCACCAATGAATGTGATATCGAAACTTTCGTGTTGGGTGTGTGGCCAGATGTAGATAGGAAAATTTTGACAGCTAACTATAATAGTAATAATATTTAATTGCTGAAAAAAAATAGTTAAAAGTTTAAAAGCTTCAATGTGTTTAAGTAGGGTTTTCTCATTTATTAATTTTAGCACTAAAAGAATAATAATTGCTACTTATGACACTATAATTTATTATTGTGTTTAGATCTGATGTGTTCTTCTCTAAGCTGCCATAAAACTTATGTGTTCTAGATAAGAAGCGCACTGTTGATAACTATTTATTTTTTTATTTGAAACTCTATCCTATTTTTTTTTTGTTTATTTAGTTAGTATTAGCACTTACTTCAATGATGTGTATGCATACCTTAGATTTTTAAGTTAGACAATAGTAAATAGAATAGATAAGATAAAATGCGAGTTTTTGTTGTATAGTGCTATCGCCATAGTAAGATGTAAATAGTAAGTCAGACTGATAAAACTAGAACGTCAATTCAAACAAATTATACAATGCTTTCAATAACTATATTTTCTTTTTCTAATTTCATTTACATCTTGCAAAAATATAATTTCTATTTGTTGTTTCACTTTAAAGTTCTCCTGTACGAATTATTCTTATTAGACCTTCAATGTTATTATTTTTTATAGCATTTCTGCAATGGTTAATCATAACTGCCGAATTCTGTCCGACTAAAAACAAAAAAATTAAAAATATAATCAGTTATAAAATGGAAATATTTTGTTTGCATTATTTATATTTACCTCGTAACCTAGAAGCTTTCTGGATAATATTGTTAATTTTCTTCATGGTTTCTATGCCTTCGTTGTAGTTTTGAGTTTTAATGTTGTAGCCGTTTATTAGTTCTTTGTTCACTTTGTTCAATTCATGATAATGATCCATCATTTCTTTACTAAAATAAACTTATATTAGCACGCTCATAGATTCTATTAGGTCTGGGTACTAATTTCAAAATTTTTCAGAGTAGCTTCTAGTATATTCTAGGTACTCTATTGAAAAAAAGTTATGAAGAAAGCTAGATATATTATTCTCATTTTTGAGTAACCAAATGGTTCACAAAAGCTTTAAAAAAAATACAAGGAACATGTTACATGTTATCTGAAATTTACGTAAATAGTCTAAATTGTAGATACTATGAGTAATAATAACTCAAGCGAATCTGGTTAGTCTTTGGTCTTTTAATAGTCTTTTAGGGCATGGGTTAATTTGGGCAGCCTCTCATTTTGCATATAAGTTGAAAGGCGATTCAATGTTTGGATGCTTCTTTATACTGGATACTGGAGAATCCTGACACTTCTTGGTAGCACTACAGGGTGAGTTACTGAACGCGCGGTGGTCCATATCTCCTATACTAACAAAGATCGAAGAAAAAACTAATTACAAAATTTGTAGAAAAACATAGTAATACATTCCTGCATTATTTTCCAGTATACACGGTGGCCCAATAAGTAGTGGTGACACAGAGTTATGTTTTTTTAAATGACTCATCACTCTGTATATTATGACATTTCCGGATTTTGCGGAAAATTCTAGACATATTTCATGTACAATGTCATATACATATCTTCAACTGTTTCGGAAATATTGACAGCTGAAAATTGACTTTTTTGCATCTTCGACGCACTGTAAAACCGGAGCGGCTAATTTTACCGCAAAACCGATCATACATTCTTGTCTTATAGGTCAATTCAGTGCACATCTGTAAGCAAATCTATAAATTTCTATAAGCCTTATAAGTAACTGCCTATAGACAATTTGCAATTTTGCACTTCCTGTAGATTACAGAAAATCTTATAGGACCGTATGTATTTCCGATCGGTTGTGCACAGAATTGACCCGTTAGTTTTTCATAAACCAACATTTGACACAAACTTTGAATTTAGTCCATGATTAAAAATTTCGCTTAAATTATTAATCTCCGGGTAAATTCAAAGTTGCTATCAATTGATAGCTTATGAAAGTCTAGTTTTGCTATAAAATCAACCGTTTAGGTTTTACAGTCTGTCAAAGATGCAAAAAATCTATTTTCGACTGTCAATATTTCCGAAACAGCTGAAGATAGGTATATGACATTGTACATTAGATATGTCTAGAATTTTCCACCGAATCCAGAAATGTGATAATATACAGAGGAAGTGATTTAAAAAAAACATAACTTTGTATCACCACTACTTATTGGGCTACCCTGTATACTGGAAAATAATTTAAAAATTTGTAACTCATGTTTATCTACAAGTTTTATATTCAGTATTTTCTCAGGGCCGGCTCTAGGTATTTTGCCGCCCTGGGCAATGAGTAAATTTGCCGCCCCATCCCATGGCCTGCTTAGGAAAAATGTGAGAGATCTTGAATTGTAGAAACAAAAAATAATTAAACGAAACAGTAAGGCACAGTATCATAGCAATAAAACTACATACTACCTATATTATGTAACTTAGGTAACCACAAAAAAAACTAACATAAGAGAACAAGAAACATAACAAACAAAGTAAGAGTCAGCCAATCCAAGCTCTTGGCAACAATCAACAGATACATTATGTAGATATGCCCTAATAGCACAGAAACATTTCAAAAAATTATCCTATTGGACGTCAGAACGTTTTAAAAGTAACTGAGAATATCCAAAGGTGCATTTTTATTTGGTGCAAATGTCACTTTAAACGTCATATAGGCGTCGAAAATGAGCGTTCCAAAAATGCTTTAATACGAACGCTTAAAAACGAGAAAGGACGTTTTTCAAAGATCTCTATATGAACATTGACTGGACTTCCTTCAAAGTATCCAACACCATCCAATAGACTTATTTTATAGGTAGTGCAAATATCACAGTTACAAACAACCTTTTAAAAACGTCTTATTCGAACTAATTTCCGGACGTGTGGACGTGGGATACATGTTTCCAACGGTGTTCCCAAAAACGACCAACAGAAACCTTTATAAAACGTCTCTCATGACTTTTCATGAAAACATACTTTTACGAACTCATAGAAAACATTCTGACGTTCTTTATTTGTTCCTAACAGAGGTTTTGAAAACAACTTAATCAAACGTCTAAAGAACATCCTTTCTTCACCTTTTTAAAAACACTCGGACATGGACATTACCGCGTGCAGAAACAGTAGTTTCCAAATTTTTTCTTTCAGAACTTTATGCTTATGGACGTTTTGTGAATATATTTCGAACGTCTTTTTTCGTCGTTATTGAAAATGATTTTGTGCAAACGTTTATACAACGTTCTATTTTAGTCCTCGGATGTTTGGACGTTAAACGGACTTTAAAAAAAAAAACGTCCATCGCACCTTTTGTGTTATTAGGGTAGGTAGGTACATTTTCAATAAAATTGGTTAAAAAATGTCGAGGAGTCAATAGGCATAATCCATATGACAAACAGAATAGGAAATATAGAGTAGGTACCTATGCAGAAAATTTCACATTAATATCAAGATATGTTCAGAGAAATCATAAGACTCCAAGAAGAGTCGGACTGAAAACCAAAAAAGGAGAAGAAATGCGGTGTAACAAAAAATATGAAGATACTTTCAAACTCTATATTATCTAGCTGTACAGGAAAGTCAATTTTTCTAGTGTGTTGTTTTGCGTTGAAAAGTCTTTAGTTAAACAATCTTTCACGTCAGATTGATAGTTAGCTATTTCCTGCCGAATGTCGATGGAATCCTCAGTATGTTGCATGGTGCAAATTTTATCTCTTCGTAAAGTTTTCCAGCAAATTCCAAAATCCACTCAATAATAATTCTCGGGAAAAAACTAATTTTGTTATGATGGGCGATCAATTTCAATTTAGTTAACACTTATTAGGCAATCCAAAAAGAATAAGGCTTGGCTTCACTAGTCAATATTGATAATTTCCGAAGTTATATCGAGAGTTGAAAATTCACTGTTGCTGCCGACTGTCAAGCATTCTCATGGGTGAATAATCTCAAGTACCTATCGTTGGACAATGATTATTACACATATAGGTACCTTCCTTTGATCCATCGTATAGGCATAATGAATACTGTCCCTGCTGCCTGCTGTCTGCTGCCCAATTTAGATAAAGAAACTGGGCACTGGCATATAATTGACTATATCATCGTCAAAAGAAGAGAGGTTCAAATTACTAGAGTCGTACCGAACATTGACTGCTGGAAAGACGATCGCCTAGTCATATCTAAAGTTTCCACCAAACTAAAAAAAAAAAAGAAAAATACCAATACTAAAAACGAATCCAGACTGAAGGACTCCAGTTCGGAGAAGCTGTAGGATAACTTGCGGTACAACGTACAGACCAGACTGAGAAGTCTATCAAAAAACGAGCTTGGAGATGTGAAAGAACACTGGACAGGTCTTAGAGACTCTCTATACGAAGTTAGCGTATCGGCAGCAGCGGCGGATTTAGGATTCCTTCTAGGGGGGGGGGGGGGGGGCGATCCATCAGGGCCTCAGGCTCAGATAAGAAATAATAAAAAAACGACTTAAATATACAGAGTGGCAAAAAAGTCGCGTATAATACCTGTAACTTTCTAATTACCTCGTATACGAAAAAGTGACCTTAATGAAAGTTGCTCAGTAAATTAGGGACATAAAGCTTCCGTATTTTTTGCTCGGTATCCGTATCGGTATCGTAATGCGCATGTGCAGAAGCGATACGGAGGCCGAGATACCGTACGTACAACGTAACGTTACGGCCCTCTCGCGGTATTCGTATCGGTAACGTATCTTGACATTCCTGACGCATGTGTCAAATTTCAAATGAATATAACCTCCCTTTTCTTCCGGGTTGATTTAATTTGTTTAGTTTATACTTTCTTGAGTTTCTTGTGTGTTTAGTGCTTCTCTATCGCAAAAAAAATAACAATTTTAAGGTTAGATATAAAAACGCCGAAGTTTTGAGACAAAAATGTCTAGGTTATGAAATGCGTTTACGTTTACCGGAACAGGGAGCACTTTAACAGCCTTTTCGCTTGTCAACGTATCTAGTTGCGTTACGGATACCGATACCGATGAATTATTTCAAGTAGCTTTATAACCCTAATATTTCCCACAATTCTACTTAACGTATTGCCTGTGTCACTTCTGGTTTGTTTGCTATCTAGACCAACTTTCTTTTTTTCAAATAAAACACCCTGTATGTGATTGCATATTTGGATTCTACGTAAAATTCTGAGCAGATTTCATGTGATATACCCTATACCTAAGTTCAACTGTTTTGGAAATATTGACAGTTGAACATTGACTTTTTGCAACTTTGACAGGCTGTAAAACCTGAAAGGTTAATTTCAGAGGAAAACCGATTTCACATTCCTATCTTAGATTTTCATAAACTATCATTTGACATCAACATTTAATTTAATCGGAGATTAAATTTAATTGGAATTTTCAATTATAGATTAAATTCAAAGTTGGTGCGGATTTACGTCATCCGCAGTCGATTCGCTCCCAGCTCGCTGCTGCCAAACGTATTTAAAAGTATTAAAAATTTGGAAAAATAGCAAAAACCATATGGAATTTCATGTTGGATAATGCTTGATGAATATGTTTGTGTTTTCGTTAAAAATTTCGTTGTTGCGTCGCTCAATAGGGGGGGCGCGCGCCCCCCGCGCCCCCCTCTAAATCCGCCACTGATCGGCAGTGAGGGTCACCAACAAGAAAAAAACAAGAAGACTGGTTTGTTGACAATCAGAACACAATTAAGGAAATATTAGACAAAAAAAACAACGCATTGCAGACAGTGCAAAACCACCCAATAGACAACAATACCCTAAGAAAATATGAGAAAGTGAAACAAGTAACAAGCTTAATAAAAATCAATACTTTATCAGAAAAATTTCTTTGAAGCTGTAAAGAAAATCTATTGGGTATCGCACAGAAATTCTTGCCCACTAAAAGATCAAA